AGAGTAATGATTTGATAAACCTCATCCTTTCCCTTGAAAACTCCCTGAAAATGTATATACTGTACATGAAAACAACCAGGTGAACTGACACATATTATGTGTATACAATACTGTGATGAAAAATATTATGCACAATAAAAGAAACAGTGACAGTAAGGCAGAAACTAATACATTTTATGTATGTTACTACTTTACTGAAATTACAGGAGTCAACGAATAATCAGCAGAACTTTCTGCCTCAGTTTACACATAACCGCAAAGAAAGTTTCCTCTTGTACCAGTTGGGGTGTCCAGTGAGATATAAGGTTCACATTCTTGCTACAATTATATCTCTTTGTATTCATTGTGGGGTTAATGAATCCACTGCCAGTTTGCTAGTCCTGTCGCAGCTTAATGGAGCTTCCAAGGCCATGATGTTTTAGGAGTGACCCAGGATAACTTTCAGGTCTACCATAGAACCCACATGGCACAAGCCCACACCATACTCTGCCTTATCTCAGTAGTACCTTGTCCTTTATCTGATACTGCAAACCAACCCTAGCATTTGTCACTTATATGATCAGTAATTCTCCGCTGCTCTCTGAACAGTCCATGTTCACACAATTGTTGAAATCAATGCAAATCAGTCTAGAAGAATCAGCTGCAACAACAATAACAAAAGCCAGCAGTATCAATAAAAATTCAGACGTGAACATACTGTTCACCTGTTAATACATCACTGCCAGATCAATTTTCTTCAACTATTTACATATAAACTGTTTAAAACAGCAACTTCTTTTATAATGTGTTAACGATTACATTTTGTGACTGACTGAATTGTCTTCTTCTTCAGCAATCTCTGGTCATGTGCTTAATCCACTGTAGGCCATAAACTGGGAGTCATATCAAGATCTCTTAGGTTTCCTCAAAGTTTAGTAGTCAGGTCGACTGAGCGCGGCCACATGTTGCTTCGCCACCCCTCCAAAAGAGGAGCCTTGCAAGACATATTCTGGAGTCTGTTCAGCATGAAGACACTGACAAACAGCTATTTGACTCATAGCTTATTTATAAGAGTGTTTGTTGAGTCAGCAGCTCGCAGTGCATAAGCGAATCATTATTCTAAGCCCAGGAAGTGTGAACTGCTCTTGCCGCACATGCAGTGTATGAAACAGGAAACTGACATCTCAGTGGCTGAACTCTCTGCTAATACAAGGACATATATAAAAAACACAGACAGAGGCCATAAAACAGATAGATGAATATACATACAGAAAGACAGACACTTACACACACAAACAGTAAGTGATACAGTGAAAAAGGAGGTGGGGGAGGCGCAGACAAGCACAGAGAATGTTATTCTATTTACACACAGCCCTCAATCCCAGCAAAAAAAAAGAAAATAAGTAGCTGTATCCATTAGCTTTCTCATTCATTAACTTTACAGATCAATCGGTCCGTGATGGTTGATGTGGTCAATACCACTTTAGTTGCCTTTACTTTTAGCTGGTGTCGCGAGACGCCGCTTCAAGTAGACAAGATACTTTTGGCTGACGTACCATCCCTTTGTGACCCTTCTATTTTTCTCTCTTACATGCGCCCAGTGACTTCATTTTCGTCATAAGACGCATTGAGAGATATCCCGGTTATAGCCTACGGTTGCTGTTTGGGGATTTTCCATTGTCCTACTTGTAATTCCCCTGAGCTTTCACGTATAAAAAAATACGGCTAGTAACTCGGCAACGTAGCGGAGAAAACCCTGGCCAACACCGGAAATCCCGCAGTGAGACAAGATTGCCAGCCATTTTACTTCAGGTCAGCAAGCAGGTGTTAGAGCGGGCCGTTTTGGCAGAACTTTGTCTTTCTCGCCGCCTAAAAACCCTAGCAGCATGACCATATAGTTACATCTAAATCCAGGTGAGCACAGTAACTGTTAATTAAATCGTGATTTCAGTTTTCGGGCCGCATTTCGTGTACAATATTAGAATTGTACCAGACAGAGGAAAAACCACGCTGACCCATTTCTGCACATGGACAGGAAACCATTTCTTTATGATCTATTCCTGATTCCTATTGTTCGGTATCTAGGAGGTTACTTCTGTTTGCTGTATCTAAGACTCTTAGGAAATTATCTATCTTCTATTGCTGGTAGATGAATGATCTATGGCTGGTTATTAGAGTCTGTGTAGATAATGGTAACATTTCAATGGTAACATTTCATAGGAGACATTGTTCTTCTCATGCTCATACTTCTATAATTCATAATGTTTGCTTGTTGTAGAAGTGCTGAATTTTGTTTTCAGGTTATTGATGTATTATTCATGATGTTATTAATGTATCATTTTACTTATACACAGCAGTATTAAATGCTGTGATTTTGAGGACATGCTGTCCAAGAAAACACCCAGTGGAATATCTGGAAGACAGGAAAGGCAAGACCTTTTATCTAGAATTCTCAACATTTATAGAGAGAATTCTATAACATTCTGTCTGATTTTGTGTTGCATTTATAACTGCATATTGCTGTCTGAGTCTGTGTAAATGAGTGGTATTACACTATCATCCTGAAGGACAGAAGATGGAAGACATTCATCTGGACTGGACAGTAGTCAGAAGTGGAAGCTATGTAAATGACAAGGCTACTAGACCATTATCCCACTTCTGACAATATGAAGAGAGAGGGGAAAGTTGGGAATATATTTTATTTTGCAAAACAGCAGGGACTATATATTTTTTGATTGTTTCCATCCCTAGCTGCTGAAAAGCCGAGGACAGATCCCTTGTTCCTTGTGGCAGGACGAGCTTCCAAACCACTGCCAGGCTGGTTGTAGCTAATGATTGGAGTGCCCTAAGGAAGATCTTGGTGCTTGGGACAGATCCGACATTCCACCTCAGTCTTTGAAATGGATGATCCTCTGGGAAACTCCAGGTGGTAATTGTTGTGTTATTTCCCACTGATCCTCTCATGACGACAGTTTCATGTTACTATCATTTTTATCTTTCATCCTACTTAGTTTGAATAATGTATTTTCAAAAGTAAATAGATGATTGAATTTTACTTTAATTTTAATAAACATTCCTATGATTGATTTAAACTCATAGTTAAAGTTTATTTCTATTTCTAGATGTATGTATGGTGTCAGTGCTGTCTACCAATATACATAGTCTAGATGGGGGCTTAATTTTATTACCAGAAAGGGAAATTGTCGGGAGGGGTAATCTGCTCTGTCTAAGTGGTTAGGCATCTAAATTCCCTTATCCCTTTTCTGGGGATATTCAGGCAGCTCACCTTCTTTCGCGAGCCAATTCGAGTCTGTATCTGAGTATCCAGGGACACTGTCTGCTCTTTGCACCAAAAGACAGTTGTCTCGGTTCCTAACAAGATAACACCACTTTAGTGAGTGTAAAAGGAACCTGTTCCACGACAGCTGGCACCCATTTAGGCTAGTGAAACAACAATATACCAGCTATATTTTAAAAACAGGAAATCAATGGAGCAAAACTGGGGCGAACTACACACAAAAATCACTAACCATAATTATAGACTTCATGTTCTAGAATAAAAGCGTGACAATCATTACCACAAAAATCAGTATTAAAAAAATGGTCAGATAAACTGTCCTTTTTCCTTTTGAGATAAATGTACTACATGCTAATTAACAGCCTGATAAAGAACAAAACCACTGTATGGATGCTGACACTGGCTTCCTTCTTGTTTCAATGCTTAAAAAAAGCACAAGCAAGCATTTAGTGAAAAAAAATTATTAGAGCTTTTTTTTTTGTTAAAACTTTTACTGGCGGCACTGCTTTGTCAGCAGTTTTTGTTAAGGTCTCTTCTGTGCTGATGTGAATATGTTTCATCAGAGCCAGAACCCTGTCAGTATATTAGCCAGCACTGGAATACTTTCAGGAAAAGGTTCAAGGTTCCTTGCTCATCATTGCAAGGAGATGCTCATTAAAAAGGTGAACCCCCAAGCTTTGAATTAAATGCAAAAGACAATGCATGTCTGCACATCAATGGCCAAACTTTTGACACGCTGCATACACTTTAGTTTGGGGTGTCAAATCATCCTTTAAATATACTAATTCTGCTCTATAAGATTTCCACCTGTTTGGTCCCCACACAGAAACTAGCTCGAGATGTGCCTAAGCCAATCAAGTAATGAGTCTCCCCTGTTGACACACAAGCAGATACCCTGGAGTACCAAAGTGAACCGTAACAGAACTATTTTTTGGCCAACACTTTCAACCTCTGACGTAAACTGGTGACAACAGAAATGAAAAGCCATAGAAGAGCTGCAGGAATTTCAAGGAAAGACAGAATATGAAATCACAAAATCTGACGCATGCTAGGAATAAAGCCAGTCTTTCAGGTTATTAATGAACAACAAATGAAGTGGTCTGGACACATAATAAGAATGCCGTGGTACTATCCACCACAGCGAGCCGCAGTGAAACATTACAACGGGTATAGAGCAAGCAGAAGACCTCGGAAAAGATGGAGTGATGGCATAAAGAAAAACCTTACAGAAATGAACATCAATCTTAATAGTGCTCTTGACAGAGTTCTTCAAAAAATGTTACATCTGTCCCCGACACTTCACTGAGGTGGAAGAGAAGAAGAAGGGCCCCACACAGCAGTCCTTTGATGACAATGATTCGCTTGTGATAATGACATGCAGACAGCTCTGCCTACAATATTCTTCAATAAGAGAATACAAAAGCCCGTTCACAGATGAATGAACTGCACTGAAAAGCAAGGCGACTGCACGAAAAAAAATTTGTTTTTTTTTTCTCTCTAAAAATGTATTAACATAAATTCTGCAGCCAGAGTGCACACAATTTTTGACTCACTATTTTTTTTTCCACAAATGAATGCCTTGAGAACGGTTTATAGGATTTTAACAATCATATATCAACCAACTAAACTGGTCTATTTATCAAATCTAACATGGATAACTAATTTACTTGCAAAAAATACATAGTTCTGCATACTTAAGCACATACAGTAGTCCCCTCCGCACTTAAATAGTGGGTTTAATCTTTGTGTCTGGCTTCACTTGATAAAACTTCTCAAACTCTTCCACTTCCTTTTTGAGTTCCTGTTCAGTGTAGGGTGGTGGGTGTTGAATTGGGTGTGCCAATGGGAACTCCTGTGGGTGTGTGTGCAGTACTTCATCAACAAATTTCAGATGGTACTTTGTTCGTTCCTCTTCATCCATTAGATAACTGAAAAAGTCAAATAAAACAATAGATATGAAAGGTATTAGAGTAAGCAAACATATTTTTAAATTGTGCAAGAGTTTATATGTTAACAGTCAATGCACAGTTATATCAAACATAGAAATGTCAGAGATGTTCCACATTAGATCTGGAGTGAGACAGGGGTGTGTCTTATCACCACAGCTGTTCATCACATATTGTCGACCAATTTTGCAAATCAACTAACACCAGTGATGGGGACACATTAGGAGAATTACTAAATGAAATGCCTTTTTGCTAATGACCAGGCAATCATAGCACCAACAGCCATACAATTACAAGAACATACTAATAAACTACTCATCATGTGATGACTATGACTTAAAGATCAACATAGACAAACAGAAGTGATGACATTCTCCAGAAAAGAGAAAAACCACTTATATCAAAATTGATGAACATCAGTTAAAGCAGGTGAAGAACTGTAAACATCTGGGGGAGCATTTTTTCAGAAGATGGAAGAATTAGTAAAGAAATCCAACAAAGAGAAGTGCCCATTCGAGAGATCTCTTCCTTGCCCTGACACTGCGAGGCATTCGAGGAGTAAAGAAAAGTAAAGAAAAAGAACAGTGCTGATTTTGTACTAAAAAAATGATATATATATATATATATATATATATATATTACAAATGTACAGCTTTTATCTGGGCTTTTTTTTTAACACTACACATATATATACCCATTTGTTAAATAAATGAACACGCAGACTGTTTGGTTTTGCACCACCAGGTGGTGACCCGATGTATCAAAAGCTATATGTTGTAAGGGTCTTTTGAAAGTGAGTCAATAGTGCAGAGGGACAAACAGATTCTTGCGGTCTGAGGAGAATGGTGCTGCGAGAAGTGGCAGGGTATCTGGCCAGGGCTCAAAGAAAAGGCGAGAAGCATATATAATCAGACTGTTACTGGTGTCATTGTAACTGGAATTCTGCTGAAGACAGGGGCAGAGCATTTATGGGAGTGTCATGAGTGCTGTGATGTTGAATTACCCTTCAACCCAGCTGTTCACTCTGACTAGTCAGCTTCATTTAATGGGCAGCTGGCAGGCACACTGTGTTGTAGTTTACAGACAGTATGCAATATCTGAGACTTTCAGTTTAACACAACAGATTTCCTCAAATGCTTAATTAATACATTTTTACAACATTCCTGTAAGTGGTAAGCGATCTATTCTCCCCTCCTAAAAGGCCTTCAGAGCCTAACGACCACCCAATAATCACTAACTTCATATACATTAGCACTGGTCTGCTCAGCTTTTGCTTGCCCTACTATTGTAGTGAGATGTAAGTTGTTCATACTTTTTGTGTGCTGACAGCAAAGGCATTCCCTTTTCTATGTCCACTGGTCCAGAGGCATATGATGTTGAAAAATAGAAAACATGGCTTTTCAACTGGTCATCGAATCTCGACCACTGTGCTGGCTTTAAAGAGTGCTTTTCATGATGCTAACGCAAAAGTGTTTTACTACTACTTAAATTTAGTATTTTACCATCTGTTATCTCTTGTGATTGCATTTTTTTTTTTTTTACAGAGAAGGGAGTTCTTATGATAAAATGTACCATTTCCTTCAGTTCCCTTTAACAACTTATCATGGCAAATGCTAAAAAAAAATGGGCTATTAAACCCCCTCCCTCCAAAAAAAAAATTCTTTACAAAAAATACAATTAGGTCACTAATAAACTGTTTTTAATTTATTATCTACATTATTAAGGATATCCCATTAAATACGGTTTTTTGATGGGCAGGGGCTAACCACACCAATAGAGTTAACTAGGCATCTCATAAAAGCATCCATGTAGAACGATATTCACAGGGAGTTTCTCCCCACTGGAAGTTTCAAGTTTGCAGCTTCCCAGGACAAAAGGGTTAGGTTTCGAACAGCTTGAGTTTGGTGTTGACCCATTAGTAGGGTCTCTGTGGCAAGGTGGTTATGCCGTTTGTCTCACGCTCTGATGGCCAAGGGATGATTTTACGGCTGCGCCCTTAAATTCACAAGTGCCATTTTTACAGAGATCCGTGGGGATCGTCGCCAGAGCTACAACAGCAAGCGCTAGCCCTTCTGCAAAGAGAGACAGAGCCATATGGGATAAAAACCTGGTACAATGAAGTTGATCCTCTCAACGTTAAATATTTTAGTTGACTCATTGGGCCAATATTATGCTCCTAATAGTTGTCAATTACTTAGATTAAACCTTTGTATATGACAAACCTAATAATAATAAAACTATTTTAGACAAAGACAATAACTTACTGGTAGTTGATAAACCTAGCACCTTGCGTCAACTGCGCCACCTCGTTCGTCACATGACAAGACATGAGCAGAAGATTACGTGGGATGACTTTCCATGCAAACCTCATGAACAAAATTGAGTAGATAGACAAAGCTGAAAAGTAAAAACATCATTTGGTCTTTACATCAAAATCAGACATCACGGTGGCAGAGTGGCTAGTATTTTTGCCTGTCAAGACAGGCATCCAGGTTTAATCCAAGCATTTATTTTTTTTTAGCTCACCCAGCAGAAAGTCCTGACTGCTCATCTATTTAATGACTTTTGTTGTTCAGGACCTGAATTTAACGTGTGCATTCATTTTACAGATCTGTGCAGTCCATTGTTTCCTTGCCCAACAGGTAGATACACTCCAACTTTGAGGGAATCGTTGATCTTATCTCTAGCATCTGTAGCCAAACTGTTACTGCCACCAAGAAGGACTCTCAATCCAAAAACATCTGAACCTCTGTTATTCAGTAGGAGGCCCGGGTCATGAACTCTGTTAATTGCATGAGTTCTCTATAAGCCTTGTCACCCATGCAGTGGAGGTGGGCTGGTGAGTGCCAAAGGCTGTCTTGACACTGCATCTCTGGGCGCCACCAACTCATTTCCTGGATTCAGGTCTACACCGGCCACTGTACCGGGTGCACAATGTGGACATATGGCAGCAGTCATGCAAGAAACAAACCACCACAACTCTGCCTCACACCTGTGATCTAAATCACTTTGCCCTAGACCAATAATTTAACTTTAGCAGATGTAGGACATAGCATTCATTATTTCCATAATATATTTTCTCTCTTAGTATGTCATAAGAAGAAGCAGGATTGTAAGCTTGTAGACCCAAGTAGGATAACTCAGAGAAACTGTTATTGCCTATTTAGAAACAGATCTCCCTGAACCCATAGCGGTGTGAAGAAGAAGAAGTATGTTGGGAGCAATTGAAGCTTGTACCCAAGTACTTCTATGTTTATTCTTTTGATTGAAATACTGTCTACTTCCATGTGGCCAGAATTATTATCCTTTCCCTCTTTTGCAGTTACTATGTATTCTGTCTTATCTTACTTGATAACCAGGCAATGCTGGAGCTGTTTCCTTGAAGTCAGTCATTATATTCACTGCTTCTAGTCCATTTACTCCTACTATATCTACACCATCAAATAGACATATAGGAGCAAATTTCCATTAATTCTCCTTTCAAACACTAAACAAATATACAGACATACACTACTTACCGAGAGTCATTTTTCCACTTATAATTTCTGGGTTTTTCTTCAGATCCCCTATTGCAGCCAATGGTAAACCCCAATTTGCAACTAAACAGACAAAACATTACAACATTATATTTGGAAACTAATACAAATTAAACAACATCATTACTCTTCTATAACTACAGTAAAAATGTATGCTGCTTGAATTAAACATATTATCTTCTTCTTCTTCTTACGTTCGCTTGAAATAATTAATCTATATTTGCAATGTTGTCTCTATTATGAACTTCACTATCTTTTGTAATTGACTCAGCAACCCATAAAGTTTGACTTGCACCAGTGTTTCTCTTAGCTAAAAGTTTTACCTTGATATATTCTCTCAGGTGCCAATCCACATGTGCACATGGCTGATTCGCCGATTTTAAATTTTGTGTGCATGTGGCTGCGAAGTCGATTATGCCCTGTTCTAAGGCGTAGAATAATAACTTGCTCTGGTCTGTCCATAAAATGGTAATCGTCTTGTGCCGGTTTTAGTGGCTTTCTGATTTATTTGACCATTCTCTTCTTCTGTTGTTAAGAAACTGGTACATCGGGTTGTTCTTCATTTGCACCTTTCTTAGCTAGTTTTTTTAGCTGTTTAGCATATCAGAAAGATAAATGCATTATTTTAATATTCTGCACAATCATCTTTTTTAAGTTATTTTTCTCTGGCTGTATGCAACGGTATGGAGAAAACAATTTATAATTTTTAGGTGTCACTTTTTTCAGCACTATTGTAATAGATACTCTGTGGTAAAGAAAGTCCTGATCTTTCAACTTCCTTCCATTGAATTAATTTTGCAGTTTACTATACTTCTACTTACAGGAGCCATGGTAACATAGTTTCTAGACACACACTAAAGACCCCCAAGAATGGATACATGTTTATACTGATGGATCTGCATTCAAAGCTACCATTAAAGCAGGTTACGGAATCTACATAGGTTATCCCGATGGATCTGTTGAAGAGATTTTTGATGCATGCGGGGAATTTTGTTCAAATTATGAAACCCAAATAATTGCACTGGAAACAGCAGTATACGACCTAAAGACTGTAATGGATGTTTACCCTTCAAAGGCCCAAAATATTGTCATCTTCACAGATTCAATGTCTGCCCTTCAAGCTCTGGAGGGCAGTGAACGCTGCAAAACTGACATAGCCAAGATAATCCTGGATGCTGATCAGCTTATTACCTCATACAACATCAGAATAGTGACGCAGTGGATTCCAGGTCACTCCAGCACACCAGGTAATGACAGAGCTGACAGATTGACAAAGAAAGGAGCAACACAAGAACAACCACCTACAGCGACAACCCTACAGACAGCAAAAACACTTATTAGAGCTACAAACAAAGAGACTTGGTTGAACAGATGGGCCATGGGAGACACTGGAAGAAAGGTTTATAGACACATGGCTGGCCCTGATCCTAATGACAGCATTAACCATCTAACAAGAAGGGACCAGGCCACCATCTTCAGACTTAGAACGCAACATACTCCACTCAATGGACATCTAAACAGAATACAGCCACAACACTCCCCAGAGTGCCAGCTATGTAACTACCCCTACGAAACTGTTCAGCACCATCTCTTTGAGTGCCCAAAACTCAGCGAGACTAGAAGTATGCTACTCCCTCCAAGATTAGACAAGTGGAACACCTTGTACGGAGGAAAAGAACAGCTTGTGAAAACATGCAAATTCCACTACATGGCATTGGGCCAAAGGGCGAAAGCTCATGCGCAGCTGGATCGATAACAACAACAACTAGACACTTGAATCTGCATCAAGTGGGATTCTTTTCCAAATTTACCTTGATTTCTAAAATAACCCAGCCTAAAATAGGCATACACAATTATTCATGGTAAAGGTGGCTGGTGTGATGCTGATCGCACTATCCACAATTGCCAATTAGTTTATAAAAATCAAGTCCAGCATTATATGCTCGATACGCGATTAGAGTTTTTAAACAAAAAGGTCCTTTACTTTTACTACTGCTACTTACTATAAATACTTCTACTATCAGGGTGTCACACCAGTTTCCATACATATGAATAATAAATATTTTTTTTATGAAAACAATTTTTACTGACATAATGTGCTCTGCATGACTACTATTGTTTTGAAAACATATTCTGATGTTTGTCCTTTGCTGCTGAAGACCATATATAGTTAGGGTTAGGCTTGTAACGGTGTTGGTCATATGTTTATTTGTCATATACATGGAAACTTATGGGACACCCTGTCTATTCTAAAAAGTAAAAGTTGACTGTATATTACCTGGTCCCCAAAAATGCTGCAATGAAAATTTTAAAAAGCACATGTTATCTACACAATAAAACTTTGATCATTAACTGAAACCAATCTAACTTTCATTATCGGCTACACAATCACCAAACATACATGCAAAAAAGATGAACATAAGCAATTTAGTCCACACAATGGGCTGGTCTGATTCTAGCAGTGGTAGGAATAAGTTGTCAAACTATGTTGTGGTTTACAGCTAGGTAGCGACATCAGCACCTTTAGACCCAACACAACCAATTTCAGCAAATTTATAATCAGTTGAGTATTACTATTTGCTTGTTAAGAGGGTAGTGTGCCTATTCTTTCTTCCCCCTCCAAAATGGGGTCCCAGAATCCACAAGGGATTACAGGAGACTGATCTTGGACATGTTCAGATGACCTGTATAGTATTGACCACATAAACTCTGCCTAGAATGTCTTTGCATTAAAACACACAGAGCCAATGAAATAAAGACACACGCACACAAATATGGAAAAGACAATTAGAAGAAAAAAAAAGAAAATGGGGTGAAGAAATAGGGAGGGCAGGGTAAGCTGTGCGCAATGGCAAGGAATAGGACTTAAGTGTGAGTTGGCTGAGGGCTTATTGGGGTGATATAAAATTCTTTGGGAGCTCCAGTGATGAAGCAGCTAGATACACTGCCTATCAACCAAAGATCCTGAGTTTAGATCCACACTGAGTCCAGTCTGCATTCAGAAATTACCTTAGCTACCATACTGACCCAGTCTGAAATGGGTATCAAGTACAGTCCTGGGAAGTAAAGGTGGCCAGCAAGATGCTGACCACACCTGCTGAGGGCTGATTGGTCTATAAAAAGCTCAATGTGCCACTGGCATAAAAGGGTCCTTTGCATAAATATTCATTACCCAGATATTTAAGCATCCGAATACATCTCTCTTTCTTCTTACCCTCACTGTCTTCTTCCACAGACTTACCTACCATTTACAAAAGTTCATATGGCTTGACCTTTTAATTTGTCTTTTCTCATCGCGTCAATAAGTCAACTTGTAACACCTGCATCTCTCAATACATCAGCATAAGCTTTACATATACTAGGTCATGGCTTCATGAAGGGGGCTGAGTGGTCTCGAGGTATAATGTCCGCCTTGAGTGCTGGAGGTCCCGGATTCAAGCCCCGGTGAAGGCTGGGATTTTTTCACATGGACTTCTGGACTCTCTTGGCAGGATATTGAAAAAGAGTAGCCTAGCAGCGGTGCACGGGAAAACATTTGGAGTTAAAAATCTACCCAAAGTATTTCAGGATCCTCACCGGTGCAATGGAGTTAATGCACTGCACTAAGATTCTTAAGACTCAGTAGTAAAAATGAGCACTTATGGGTTACATCCATGTGCCATGATGTTGATCCATCAAATAAATATAAACATGGCTTCATGAAATGCAATTCCTTTAAGCCTTCATCACCCATCTCTCTCTTATAAACACAGCATTTATTTTAGTTTATTTTCAAACATTTTCTGAGAAAAGACTATCAGAGACTCACTAACCGGGCATTGAAATTGGAAATAGAAAGATTGAGAAGACGAGGACGTCCAAGAGAAACCGTTATGCGAACACTGCCAAAAGTGAAAGACAGGATTTCTCCCATGATATCGAAGTGACTGCACAGGAATAGAATGGAAGGGAGAAAGAGACTGCTAGCACTTTGTGACATATAATGGCAGACCAGAACAATAAGTGAATCTCAAACAAAAATTTTCACTAGACGGCTACATGTAAATTGTGCCTCCAGCCATACTATTAGTTCTTTTTTAATATCCCACCCCAGATGAGGCCACAGGACAGTCCAACATTTAAGAGGGTGTTAAGACTGGGTTTCCCGGCTTTCTGATGCTTTTAACGACCCCAAAATATCTAGAACTAGCCCTAACCCCAACCCACCTACTTCCATGAGAGAGTGCAGCCTAGGTCCTACGAATGCATGCAGCCTAGGTCCCACGACTGCATGCAGCCTATCTACCACCCCCTAAAATATTAGACTGTCCCGTGACCTTTAGATTTTCCCTATTTGGGTAGGATATTAATAAAGCACCAACTATCTTCCTGCTCTTTGATCAACATATGTAAGCAACTGGTTTTTTTCTTTAAACAAATACAAAGGAAAAAACTTACTGTGCTGTTGGTTGCAAGGTGGCACCACACATGTGGAATATGAAAAGAAAAAAGATAGGAGGTAAATCCTTGTTACATAATATGTTTCAGATGCACAGAACAGGACTTTTCAACTAAGTTCACTCTGGGACCAAAACTTTTTTTTAATGAAGATCATCGCGGGTCAGAAGTCCGAGCCTCAGAATTGAAAGATCACTAATACAATACAGTTTACATGTGATCCGCGGGCCACTTGCTAGGCGACCTTTAGCCAGATTAGCCTGTGAGCCTCCAGTTGAATAGCCTTGGCATTGAACAACATAAACAGCTAAGATGTGTCAGAGATCAGAAAAACTATATCAACAGTAACACTTCAACAGATGGCATGTCACTAATTTACTGTCAATTAAAAAAATTACCAACTGCGCATCACCCACTGAGTGTTGACTGGTGTATAAAAATATACCTTTATTTTGCCTTTTAATGCTAAAATTACTTGATGTGCTGTTGGCAAAAGAAGATGTAGGTAAAAAAAAAATTGTAATGGCAAGGAGAATGGTGCATCATCATTTTATTTTTTTTCTTCATTAATAACCAAGAAAACTGCAGAAGTTGCAGGACTGTGAATTGTGGACAATTATTAAGCAAGCCAAACAAACAGGTCTCAGAAATTTGGTTTTACAGAAGAATTTTTAGAATTCCTTCAACAGTCAAAAACAGCACCCAGGTATTTTGAAAGAGGTGAGGGCATGAAGACTACATCATAAATATCAGAAAGAAACGGTTATCATTTTGTGGTCATATGAGAAGAAAGAAATGGAAAATGTTGTGACCACTGGACAGATCTGTGGAAAAAGAGAAAGAGGAAGGCAAAATGAGAAGATTCGTGACAGATTTTTTTGTCATAGCATGCAGGAGCGTCAGCACAAAACCTGATACATGCTGCCAAAGCTTGTGGAGAGGCAACATCACCCACGCCAGTCGGCAAGGCACTTGATTATGATGATGGGCACCTATGTCAACACAGCTCTAGGAAGTAAAGGCACTGGCATAATAAAGACCATATCTTGTATAAAAAAGTATGTGGCTAGTACCATGAACCCAATACCTCTTAAGGCTGATCATTTAGTTACAGTTCCATCCACTAAAGTACTCTACACACACACTCTCTCTCTCTCTCTCACGCATGCATACACACACACATACATATAAAATTAGGTCAGTGAAAATTCACATTAACTTTATTTTTAATTAGGCTGATTAGTTTTTATTTAGTGGTGACAGATGTTGAGTAAAGTTTATGGGTATTTTTTTAATTGGAGTAATGTTAAATTCCTTTTGTAATATGGGGATCCAGTAATGCTGAAAGCAAATTTTTAACATTTATGAAACCATCCTTATCTTTTTCTGTGCTAAGTTGCTAAGAAGAGAAAAAAAGCTGTTGATAGTAGATAAGGGTACAAACTATTTCCACTGTAACTGACATCTCTTCTCCCGTCCTCAAACATGTCAACTTTTTCCCAGAATAGCACTGTTTTACTTCTGTACACTAGGGCTATTTAACTGGTGGCCCCTGTTGAATAAGCAATCGATATCATAGCACTGGGGATACCCCCATTAACGCTCCATTCCCATCTTTAGCAGCAAATGAAGAGTTCCAATTATGATGGCACCAGTAACTGTTTGACTGTATATCCGTCTCGCCATTCCCTTGAGTGTTCAGTGTTGGCCAGATTCCCTGGTAACTCCTCGCAGTGCCATTCTCCTTAAACTGTAATGATCTATTTGCGCTTCCGCGCTGTTCACTCGCTCCCAGAAGGCCCTCACAAAGTCTAGCTTATCATACATCAATTCACCAACAAGTGGTGCAGAACCAGCCAGTCTAAATGTCTGCTCATTTCCCAACACACCAGCATAACCTGGAGAGAATATTAAAAGGATACTAACTACCTGGGACCTCTGAAGTGTTGCTTGCCACTCTGCGTGCAGCATTCCCGTCTCCACCTTTCTCAACATGCTCTGTGAGTCAGTGACAATCACGGCATGTGTGTACAGCTGATTCTCAAGCCAGAGGAAGGCAGCAGTGACTGCCTCCACCTCTATTCTCAAACTAGACGTGATATCAAATGCCAGGCTTGTTGCATGAAGCGACGTCCATTTGCCTTTGCTATAAACCCCCATGCACCTCCTCAGCCCTCAACACAGAGCCATCTGTATAGATAATCACATCACTTGGGCGGGAATTGTCATGAATCATTTGTTGAACTTCTCATTCTGCAGTACCAGCTGGCCAGTTCCTGCACTCACGACCTAAAGTGATAAGAACACTGAACAAGTCTGAAACTTGCTTTGACACTCTGATCCCCTCTTGTGCCATCTAAGACCTTTCTCTTTTCAGTCTGTGACCCTTAGATCTACCCAGGGTTTCATGCAAGAGGTGCTTCTTATCTGCAGCTACTCTGAGATTTGACTTTGCTTGCAGAACTTTAAGCCTATCTGCAATCGTAGGCAGTGCAAGTATACATTGCATACATACTACCGGGGTATCTCTTGTATATCCCAGAATTACACACAGGGCTTCAATCTGTATGCGTTCAAGTTTCATCAGCTGACTCTTTGATATGGTAAGCACTCCAAGTCCATAATCTATCACCGAAAGGATGACAAGCTGGAACATTGTAAACAGCCTTTATAGTTCCATGTCCATTGCTGCCATAATCTTGAAAGCATTGAGTCCTTTTTGGCATTTCACCGGAACTGCCTCCATGTGATCCCTATAGGACAGGCTTCTATCAAAAGTAATACCCAGGTACCTCAGTTTGCTTTCTCTTTTCATGTTATTGTTATTAATAGTGAGGCTTGGAACATTAGCTCTTAA